CCGCGGGGCGGGCCGTGCAGCTGGGCGCATGGAGTTTCCGCGCCGTTCGTCCCATCCTCTGGGGGAACGGCCGGAGTGCAGGCTGACCGAGAGTGGACCAGGTCTCGCACCGTGGCTGAAAGTTCAGCTGCTGAGCCCTCTAGATGATGCTCGTAAGATGGGGACCAAACAGAACGTCAGAGGTGATGTGGCCTTCCAGCATCTCTCTGTGCAGGTGTTCAGGAATGGAGGGCAGGGCCATGAGCCACAAGGCCGCTGGATAAGGGTCTGCCAGGCAGCAATGCGAGCAGAACCGGTGAGTACAGCAGCGCACAGATTGAGGATGGCATCAGCAGTTTTAGTAATGATGGTTTTTGACTCGACAGGAGAGTCAAGCTCCTCCACCATTTTGGAAACGCCAAAGGCGAGAAGGCGATGTTATTTCCTGCAGCGCCGGTCTGGAAGGCGCACTGGTGTGCGCGATCGGCGAGCCGCCTCAGCAGCTGGTCATGCTTAGTGGGAACTGCTCGCGGTCCAGTGAGGTGGTTCTTGACGCCACACAGCGAGGCCAAGTCCGGCTCCAGTGGAGGAACGGATGGCCAGCCCTGGTCGGAGAAGCCCTCGACCTTGGTAATGGGCGCATATGTGGAAATTGGCGCCTCGAGCCTGGCAGGCTCGGAGAAGGCGGCGGACCAGCAGCTCATGGCAGCGGGGAAGTGCGGCCAGACGGGGTCTGGACAGCGCGTCTGTGTTGCCCCAAAAATTCCCGCCAATTCATCCGCCTCAGGGGAGCCGGTTGTGGAACGGCTAGCCACCTGCGGGTCGCAGCCGCGGAGATGATGGCGGGCAGCTCCTGGAGCAGTGCTCTAACTGCTGGCAGGGAGGAGCGAGAAACCACTGGGGCAGAAGGACCCGCTGAGGGAGGCTCGTCGACCTCCGTGTTGTACAGGAGGGAATAATGGCTGCGGCAGCCAGCCTCGTCGTGCTCCTCACGAGGCTCGTCGACCTCCGTGTTGTACAGGAGGGAAAAAGGGCTATGGCAGCCAGCCTCGTCGTGCTCCTCACGAGGCTCGTCGACCTCCGTGTTGTACAGGAGGGAATAATGGCTGCGGCAGCCAGCCTCGTCGTGCTCCTCACGAGGCTCGTCGACCTCCGTGTTGTACTGGAGGGAAAAAGGGCTATGGCAGCCAGCCTCGTAGTCGACCTCCATGTTGTACAGGAGGGAAGGGCTATGGAAGCCAGCTTCGTCGTACTCCTCGCTGTCGATGACATCGTCCAATCGGTAGGAGCCAGCCGGCTCCTGGCCGACGTTGAAGAACCGTAACGCCTTGTCCAGCGAGTACGTGCCAGCCACCGGAATTTCCTCGTCGGTGGAGGGGGTGAAGTACTCGACCCGGCGGACCTTTTCATCCACGGGCAGAGCGGTACAAAACGGGCACGAGGCCTGGGGGTCAAGGCCAGGCCAGCGTGGTGAGCCCCGAGACAGACCTCACACTTGGCGTGCAGGTCGCCGCTGGAGATGGAGCCCGTCTGGCAGGCCGGGCAGGTCCTGGCGTCGCTGGACATGGTCGGTGAGTAGATTTTTCTTGTATAATTGCTCTTAAAAGAAGCTCTTAAGCTTGGCGTGAAGAGAAAACGGAGGCGAACAGTGGAGTCGCTCCACTTATATAACCCACAAGGGGTGCCCACGTGGTGGGCGTACATTTAAGCTCTTCATGATTGGCTGATGCTGAGATCACCCTTCCAATAGCAGCTCGCTTAAGGGCTAAGACTAGACGAAATAGAACTTATAGGGCATGTTGTGATCTGTGGGGGAAACCGGAGTACCTGGAGGAAACCCACACATGCCGAGCCAAGTTTCGAACCTGCAACCTTCGTGTTGCGAGGCAACAGTGCTAACCACTGCGCCACCATGCAGCCCATCTATCTATATAGATCTATATAGATAAATCTATAAAGACTTACGACTTGGCTCGGACTTGAACGCCAATGACTTGAGACTTGAATCGACTTGCATCTGTTGACTTGATGATGACTTGAGCATATTTGATATTTTAGCACAAAAGTGGCACGACATGGGCAAAAATCATACATCGTTCTTGGTTCTGGGTTTGATCTTGTACTGCTAACTGCAGCAGCACTTTGTTTATAATCAGTTTCAGTTGCACTTTCTGCTTGTTTGAGCAAATAAATTAAGCTTTAAGAAGCTTTATTTCTGGAATTTATTTATTATCATTGTCATTATATTGAAGTTGAACAGATGACTTGATTATGACTTGAAAATTCAAAGTTGAGTTCTTGGACTTGACTTGGACTTCCACATCATTGACATTGGACTCAACTTGGACTTGGTTGTCTTTGACTTGGACTTGACTCGAGACTTGACTGGAAAGACTTGTGACCTATTTGTGACTTGCAAAGCAGTGACTTGGTCACACCTCTGAAGGCTTGACCAGCAAGCAACTAAAGGCTAGCAGACCATCTCCAAGGAACTAAAGACTAGAACCCAAAACAAGGCAGCTTTTTTAGATAGCACATTTCAGACATAGAAGCAATTCAATGTGCACCAGGTGCAAGATCAGCAAGAACATAAAATATTAAAATCAATGTCACAACATAAAACAACAGATTATAAAATCAAAGTAAAAAATACGCAAACAAAATTTGTTGTAAGAATCACATAAAATACTAAAATAAAGGGTGAGCAGGTACAGTGCAGAAGAATTTTGATTTAAAAGTTTCTAGAGTGGGGGCACATTTGAGGTCATGAGGAAGCTGATTCCATCTGTGTGCAGCATAGTAGCTAAAAGCAGCTTCACCTTGTTTGGTTCTGACCCGAGGTTCTGCCAGCTGACCGTTTCCTAAGAATCTCAGAGCCCTGCTGGGTATATTTGCTGCAAGGAGATTCAACATGTATTTTGGCCTCATGCCATTGAGTGATTTATAAACTAGCAGATGCACTTTGAAATCGATTTGCAGTTTACTGGTAACCAGTGTAGAGATTTAAGAACAGGAGTGATGTGCTCGGTTCTCTTGGTTCTTGTTCAGACTCTAGCAGCAACATTCTGAATGAGCTGCAGTTGTTTCACGTTTTTTATGGGAAGACCAGACAAAACCAGTCTGTGAAACTTGTCAAGTGTGCGGACGACACCGCCCTCATTGGCCTCATCTCAGATGGTGATGAGTCTGCATACAGAGGTGAGAAGGAACGTCCTCCTGGTGCAGCAACAACCTGGAGCTGAATGCTAGAGACATTGGAGATGATTGTAGACTGCAGGACAACGCCAGCTCCACTGCCCCCATAACCCTGACAGACACCCCCATTCCAACCGTGAACTACTTTTGCATCCTTGAGTCCACCATCACCCATGAACTAAAGTGGGAGATGTCCATCAGCTCCCTCATCAGGAAGGCCCAGCAAAGGATGTCCTTTCTCCCACAACTGAGAAAATCTGCATGCCAACCATGATGGTGGTCCACTTTTATACGGCCATCATTGACTCAATCCTCACCTCCTCCATCACTGTGTTGCACACAGGAGCCACTGTCAGGGACAAGTCAAGACTGCAACATGTAACCTTCCATCAATTCATGGCCTGTACACCTCCGAGGTTCTGAGACATGCAGGTCAGATAACAGCTGACCCCTCTCACCCTGGTCATGAACTGTTTGATACCCTACCTTCAGGAAGGAGGTTCAGGTCCTTACAGACTAGAACCTCAAGCCACAAAAACAGCTTCTTCCACTCCGCTGTACAACTCCTGAACAACCAATAACCATTTCAACTGCATAGACCTGCATCAGTCACATATATTCCTATGCTTATGATTGTTTTTCTTGCTATGTTTCCTATGCTGATTCTTTCTGACATATCCTAACCTATATATTGCCTGACTTGTATGTATGTTTACACCTTGCCACCAAAACAAATTCCTGGTAGATGAGTCTCTCACCTACATGGCAATAAACCCATTTTTGATTCTGAAAAGACCGTTGCAATAGTCCATCCTGCTGGAGATAAACGCATGAATGAGTTTCTCCAGATCTTGTTTAGACATGAGACATCTGAGTCCTGCAGCAGCATAGAGCCAACTGTTCAGGGCCAACAACCTGCTGAATCTTTCATCACTACTTCTGTTGGCAGTAACGGGCCGCTGTTAAACACATTTTGTCATAGAGCTGAGTGATTTCAACAAAGCAGGAAAGTCATGCTTCTGCATCTCTTACTGTCTTTTACCAATGTCGTTTGCACCAACATGTATTATGATTTGATTCGCAGCTGAAGCGTAAATCTGTTGTGGAGCTGTTGATCGTCTTCATTTTGCAAGCTCTCCGTTGTTTTGTGTTGCTACCATGGTCAGGCTTGGATGTCGGAGCAGATCGGCCAGTAGCATCGGATATCTCTTGGTGTAAGGCTGCAATAGTTGCATGTCCTTCGTTATTCAGGGACATGATTTACTCTTTGGCTTTGCACCAAGAGAGTTCCACGTAGGACTGTTAGTCACAGATTCATAACGAAGCAGAGAGCCCTCTGGCCTCTTCATTGTAGCATTGATGTTGCTAACTATCTGTGAGCTACCATCAACTAGAAGGCTGTTAACAAGCAACAAAAGGCTAGGAGACCATCTCCAAGTAGCATTGGTGTTCCTGTGACTACTACTGAATGGGTGGACTGGCCATCTGTGAGAATCCCAGATTGGTCAGCGTGCCACGGGGCTGAATTATAGTCCCAGTCTGTCCCTGGCTGAATACATTACTCACACATGACTGTTGACATGCAGAGGAGTCTTGTGTTGTGGCTCAATCCTAAATGTATCAGCATATACAAAGACAATGTGCTTAGGTGTACACAGTTTGACACATCTGGATTTGATTGTGTCAACATGATAATATATTGTCCATCAAAGATCTCCTCTGTATCTCCTGGTTATGGTGTCTGAGTTATTGTTAGAGTAAATGAAGAGGTTGACTAATGGATCAGTCTGTGACGACAAAAAACATCGAAGTAATCGGTTACCGACCTTGGCATGTTCGCTCGTCTGTGAGAAGTTTATGGCCTTTTTGGCAGCTGCACTCAAAAGAGCCCACCGTGTTTCGACAAAAGTGGTCACAGCCTCCATTGTTGTCCTTGCATTCATCGATATCTGGAAAAAAGAAAATGACAACAAAAGGCTTTATTTATGCAACAGGGAGTATTTCATGGTTTAATATTTTCACATGGCTCAGTAGATTTGTGCGCTCAGATGTACATGTGAAGTTGAGCATACAGTATTTTCTAATGGACACAGGGAGCCAATGCAGCGCTGAGAGAATGGGGTAATGTGGCTGTACCTAGATGTATTTGTGAGGAGGCGGGGTGAGTGGTAGAGGACTTGGATACACGGGCATGAATGATTATTTCTAGGTCGGAGCAAATCAGACATTGTTCCAGCTTGGACAGAGTCCAGAGTTTGTTCCTTTTGCTTAGCGTTCGGATTTAATTTGAGTTATTTTTGAGTCCCTGCCATTGTTTCCTCTCAGCAACTCTCGGCTGTTCCCCATTCGAACAGGTCACCTGGTCATCTAGTGATCCCCTCTCCCAGTTCAAATACTCATCTGTTTTTTTTTACATCTGTTAGATCAAAACAGCTGCTTCCAGATTCCTTGCTGCTCCTCAGTTGCTCCGACCTCAATTTAGTTAGATTATTTTGGCGTACAGTTCCTTGTGAGCTCCTGTCCGTCTTTCTTTTTCCTTGCATGTTTCTTGCCAGATTTATATTTCATTTTTGCGTTTTTTTTTTCTTTCCAACTGAGTTCCTCCACCTCAGAGGTCACGTGGACCACCTCTACTTTCCAACAGAACACTAAATCAGAAAATTAAATAATATGGCCACATGCTCACAAGTTTCAAGGAGAGAATCTCCTTTTGGAAAATAAAAAATAAAAAAAAGTAAAACTTCAGACATCTGATGTCTAGCCCAGGTGTGCCCAGGCACAAAGTCTGAAATAATTACTGAGAGAACATGATCACCACTGAGGCATCATGTACTCTGCCAACCACAGCTCCCATGGCAGATCTGGTTTCGCCAATCCTACAAAGTTTTTTCTTTCATTGCCTCAACTGAGTTCAAGATGACCTGAAATGAACCCAGTCCTCATACCATACTCAAACATTTTACTGCTCCTCTTATCTCATTTAGAGTAAAGGCAGTCTATATAGTTAAGAAATGTCACTGTGCCATTTAATTTTGAAATGTATTACAGTGAGGGATCTAAATGGAGGTGTTTAACGAGAGAAGAAAGATTGTGTAGGAATAGAAGAGACAGGTAAAAGAAAAGGGGACAAAGGTCAGCCAGGCTACTCTATAAATATTTTTGACCAGTGCTCTAAAATCAGAGAATTGGGTGTCTAAAGGTGTTATTTATTTCTGTTGTACTAAAGTCAGACAAACCCAGGACTTAGGTCCTTAATCAGTACACACATCAGTATTCAGTATCAGCAAATACTTGACTGTAAATACACAGTTTGGTATCAGTAACACAGGAGCAGACTAACTAACCTGTCACTGGTCATGGTCATTCACTTCACTTCAGATTTTAGTCCTGCTAACTGTAGAAGAGCTCTAATGATACTTCAGTGGGGTGTTGTAAAAGAAATGGACAGAAGACAAGGTACAGAAGGACAGTGGACAACTTAGTGGAGTTGTCTAACATGCTTTTACCAAAATCACGTAGATAGTTATTGACTTCAGGAATCCCTAGCAAGGGACTTGACTGTGTGTTGTTAAGGACCTCAGTATGTTACAGGATTTGTCAAACTGACTAAAATGTGATTGGAAGCTCCGTGTGAGTAGTGCGGGCATGATTTGTGCATGAGATGAACGTCAGCATGGGGCGTGGAAAAACAGCCTTCGCTAAGGGCAGGGGAGCGCGCGACAGTGCTCTGGTGAAAGTTAGTAGACGTAGCTAGAAGGAAGTGGTAGCAACCAGGAAACAGTCTGTAAAAGTTGGTTTAATGTTCAAAAATAAGCATGAAGGCTTCAGCAAACTCCATGTGTCTCCTGCAGTCTGTCACCACTAATTCAGCAACTTGTGGAACAGAAAGGGGGGTTAACCCCGAAGAGGACAACTTCGGCCCTGGAGGTATTCTCCCCTGTGTCTTCCGACCATGGTCAGGCGACTGAAACAGGAATGGTTAACAATGCATAATGACAAGTGATGTCTTTATGTCAGACATCACCAGAACTGACTTTTCCATTAATGCCTTCAAATTATTTTGAAAGATATTACAAAAGTTCAACAGCCATCCAGCACAATGAGTTGAACAATCTCTCTGGTCTGGCACCAGATTGAAATTGTTCTAGCAGAGCTTTCCCTCTCCCTAAAGGCTAAGAAGTACCAAGTGATGTGGGTATGCATTGTGACTGCACTGCAGCCGAGTCTTGGCCACACCTCCAGATGGGTTGGCCAATCGTCAGCCGATACGAAACGATACAGCTCAGAGCCGCTCACCTCCTTCAAGTAAATGTTTCCTCCCTTTTTTCTGGTGAAGGAGGTGAAGAGAAAATACTCCAGCTTCTGCGGTTTCTCTGTCTGTCTGCCCCTGTGTGTGTGTGTGTGTGTGTGTGTGTGTGTGTGTGTGTGTGTGTGTGTGTGTGTGTGTGTGTGTGTGTGTGTGTGTGTGTGTGTGTGTGTGTGTGTGTGTGTGTGTGTGTGTGTGTGTGTGTGTGTGTGTGTGATTAACAGGGAGACCAGAGGGAGGCTGACGCCTCATTTACACTGAGTACAGAACAGATGCAGTCTGGTTTCCGTATGACTTCCAGAAGGACAGTCATTCACACGGCCGCGGTTCGTGTGCAGGATGTCTTGGGAAATCTGCTCCTGCGAGAGCACCAGGTGATTAAAATTTAACATAAGACGTTAAAAGAGATACTTGTAAAGACAACATGAACTGATATCTCTGTCATACATAATAAATAAAAGCTGGAAAAACATGCAGCAAAAGTTTCATGTTGGAATATGGCAGATGTGCCTCGCCAGCACACGTCTCACTTCCTGTCTGGCTCTTGTAATTTCTTAACTTCATGACAATCTGCAAGCGGCGTTCGGAAAATATAGACTCCACATAGAAACCTTTTGGAGCTCCACATCCAGATCAGCACTGCCAGTGTGATTGTTCTGATTGTACTCAATTGTTTTTGTTTTCTGCAGAAGCCGTACAGAGTTGGTTCTGCAACTGTTCTGTACTCATGGTAAATGAGGCATAACATAGACCCTGGAAGGAGCTGGCAGAAAAACCAAATCATACGAAAAACAGACGCAAGGGAAGCAGAAGCTGACAACAGAGACATCAAAGAATAACTACAAAGCTGGGATATGAAATAAAATAAATGAAAACGGGGTGAAGGACGTGAAACTGGGAGAACAAAAGGAGAGAAGGTGGGTTAAGTGTCTTGCCCAAGGACACAGTGACTCTGTAAGATGGGGCTTGAACCTGCAACCTCCTGGCTAGGGTGGGCCCTTAAGGAATAAAACTGGGGAACAAAGGGGAATGATGAAATGCAAACAAACTCAAGAAACTTGACAGTTTTAGGTTTTAGCTTGACTCATTTGATGCTATCTGCAATGCAATTGTTTACTTATCTTTATTTCTCACACACCCTGTTTATCCACATCCTGCACCCACATTGCCTCTGCTCCACTGTCCATGTAAAACAATGTTTTCAACTCTGGGTCTACCCAACACAGCCACGCACAGCCTCTTAATTATCTTGTCGGCAGCAAATGCTGGCAGAACCTCATCTTACCCACATTTAATGGCCACTCTGGGGGTATATGTACCTTATAACAAGGTATATAATTACCCTTAACTATTCTATGAGCTGGAGTAAATACATTATGCTTGAGTACACCTTGAAATGATAAAGAGAAAAAAAGGACAAGTAAGAGAAGGGAATAAATGAAACCACTGACCTTTAGGTGTGGGAGTTTAACAATGTCTGTGTTTATCTATTGCTCATCTCAGAACAAGATTAGAGTGTTTTTCCCAGATAGATTTCAACATGGACAGCATCCTTCTTTTACCCTCCTCAAGAAGTTTCAGAGAGCACTTCAGCAAGAAACCAGACCCTCTTTTCCGGTTCATATCTGATTGGTACAACCTCTTTCATCCCTAAATGATATTGTTGGGGCTTTAACCAGCTCACCCAGCAACAAGCTGATGAAAAGAACATTACTACAGGTCCTACAGCCCATCAGCAGACCTCCACTTTACAGTGGTGGAGTTCCAGTGCCTTCTTTATAGGAGCTATGTCGTCTAGGAAAATGTGTCCCTGGTAGGGTCACCTTTGACAAAGTAATCCAACCTAAAGTGAGCAGCAGCAGCTCATGAAGTACAGCAAATTGTTCAGTAATTGGAGGGTTGTAGGACTGATCCTGGCTCCCAGCAGATAATGCTGATGTTGTGTCTTTGGGCAGACACCTCACCCACCTTTCCTATAGGTGGAGGGCGGAGGGACTGGTGGCACCAGTGCTCCTTGCTTACGTCTGTGCTTGTGTGTGTGTGTGTGTGTGTGTGTGTGTGTGTGTGTGTGTGTGTGTGTGTGTGTGTGTGTGTGTGTGTGTGTGTGTGTGTGTGTGAGTGTGTGTGTGTGTGAATGACTGATTGTGTTGTGAAGTGCCTTGGGGAACCCCAGAAAGCATTATACAAACACAGGTCAATTAAAGGCAAAAAGCCATTCAGATGAACCATCATGGACAAGAGGGAAGAGTACCAGACAGGCAGGAGCGGCTCACTTATTACAGCAGCAGCACCAACACTTGGACAATGGTTTTAAGATAAATAATAACAAAAGTACATGTATATACACATAGGCAGTAAGCTATTATTGTAACCTTCGACCGTATCACTGTAACTACAATATACAGAAACAGGAAAAATACATTACTGGTGATTAATACACACATCTTAGCATTGTGCTTAGCAATTAGCCTCACTTAGCATGTGTATGATCACGCAGCACTAATTTGATCAACTAAGTAACTTCACCACATGCCCAAACATTCCCTAAACACATCAATTTTTACAAAGCTAAATGTTCTCCAAGGCACGAACAAATGAAGCAAAAGTGGCGTGTTCATTATCGGCATTCTCTTGTTTCTGCAT